CACAATAAAACCAAACAACCACCACAAGGGGACGACCAGCCACCAAAGGTCGAAGAAATAACACCACGCAAACCCGTAGAGGAACCTCCGATAGAAAAAGAAGACGTTGATGAACCTGACGCAGGTGCTGCAGAACGTAATTCAATTGAGAGTCACCTGGAAGCAACACGCAAGCATGCAGAAAAACCTCTGGCAGGAAGCGAACACGTTGATAAAGAAAATGATGATCAAAAAGAAGAAAAGGAAAAGAAACGTGAAGAACAAGAAGACGCTCACGTACAACAAAAAAACGGAAAACACGAGACACTGCATGGCTTACCAATAGAGGCAGGGGCAACGCAAGGTTCAGTGGCAAATTCACCTCTAGAAGAATTGCAACAGAAGCAGACCAGTGCCGGTTCAACAAAGCAGCTAGAAGGAGAAGCTCCTTTAATTAACGCGGATGGTACATCAAATGGAAATAACGACCTATCATTACCCTCCGTTTCTGCACGTGCTGGAGTTGCTGGCGCTCATGAGGCCGCCAAGGGAAACGCGGAGGTTCAAAACAATGCTGAATCCACTGAAACAGCAGTAAATAAAAAAGATGACCCAAATGAGCATCTCACAGAAAATGACAAAGAATTCACAAAGGATAAAAACGACCTTCGTACAAATGCCACCGCAAATACCGGCGACAGTGACGGCAGCACCGCGGTCTCCCACGCCACCTCCCCTCTTTTGCCTCTTCTTCTTGTTGTTGCGTGTGCGGCTGCTGCTACGGTGGTGGCCGCGTGAGAGTGAGGGAGAGAGATCCGTGCACCGCCCGCACACACACTCGTCCTTCACTCACTCTCTGTGTGTGTGTCCCCTTGCATGGACTCTCGCCCTCACCTCACCCCACGAAGCACACACATAATGTGCCCATTGTATATATGCATGCACACCCATGCAGGCCCGTTGGTGCTCTCTTTTGCACCACACGCACCGCTGCCGTCCTGCCTGGCTGCATGGGCGGAGCACCGTAACTGTTTCTGTTTTTGTTTCCATTGCATTGAGTGGGCGACCTCTCTCTCTCTCTCTCTCCCTGTGTGTGTGTTTTGCTTTACGGGAGCAATGAGAGTGTGTGCGCTGGTCGTCCCACGCTTCGGCTTTTTCTTTTTTGTTTTTTTCATTGTTTTACTTGTGTTGTGGTTGAGAGCACCCATTCCACTGGCTGCGTGTGTGTGGGACGATATGAGTAATTTGCGTGTGTGCTATCCGCTTCTTTCTACCGTTGCTTTCTTTGGAGTTTCTTGTGCCGCACAGCTGCTCTGCAAGTATAGGCGCTGACAAACACTCAGATACACACAGACAAGCCAAGTTGCACACGCTGTGGAGCGGTGTGTACGCTGAAAACGCACGCACGCACGCTGCGGATGGTGATGGAGGGCACCATGGAGCCCGGTGTGTTGGTGCTTGTAGCTGTCTTTGGCAACACTCATATCCGCCGTCTGGGAATGGCCGGCGTGGTCGTGGGTAGTTTTATGGAGCAACGGCGAACATGGTGACTTCCACGCAGTGGGTTCACAGTAACTCCTTCGTCAGTGGCATTGCGGGAAGGAACCGTCATGATAATTGCAACGTCGTCACGCTTGTTTTCGAGCACCGCAAGAAAGAGTAAAAATATGTTTGTTTGCACGACACTTTCCATCCCCGCCTCAGGGCTGCCCATTATAATGAGGTTACCGTGCGGTGGCGTTACCCCTATGAGCTGTTGGGATAGAAAGAGCGGGCGCTGTGCGATGCTCCCGCACCTGGGACGGGCGCTGCACAATTGGTGGCTGTTAAGTGGCCGGTCACACGTTTATTGCAACACCGCGAGGAGAGCAGACGAAACACTCCGCGTGTAGGGAGCGTTGCGGCCGATAAGGAATGCGTGCGACGGTGATGGACGCTCAGTCAACGACGGATAGACGGTTTTTCCCATTGATGGAGTTGGTGCGCACGCGGTGTGCATGGCCGCCTCTGTGGTCTCCTGTTACTCCGCTGCATGTGCCGCATTTTGACGCATTACCGGCACTAAACCATTTCCTTTTTCTTTTTTTTCTTTTTCTCTCCCCTCCCGCAGCCAGGCTGCACTGCTGCTGCTGCCCAAACGAAAACAAAGAAATGCATATTCTTCAGGCCATGCGCCAGCCACGCCATGCCACGCCGCCACTCCCATTGCTGGTTTTGCTGCTGATGTACTGCGCCACTGCATGTATTGCCGCTGCACCCGCCACACAATACCGCCGTGGATTGGACGAGATGATGAGGAGCGGCACGCTTTCGACTGCGGTGGTGCGTGAGGTGCCGCGCAAGGGACAAGGAACCATGCAGGCGTACACCGTCGCCACACAGGATGAAAACAGTGGCTGGGAGCCGATCCGCATCAAGGTGTTCACGGATGGACTGAAGAGTACGAACAAGGGGAAGAAGACGTACTGCGAAGGGCTTGGGGATAAGTGCGACAACCTCTTGGGGGAGCGGATAACTTGTAAAGAAGAACATGTATTGTCGGAAGCAAAGAAGAAATTGTACACTGAAAAGATTCTCCCCGGTGCTGTCAAACTGCACGCTGAGCGACTACTTGTGAAACCCACTGGAAGGAACATAACCGTGCCGAGGGCTATGAATGAAGCGTGCAACCACTTTACGGTTCCTACTGAGCACATGAGATACGGTGTGGCTGCTGACTTTGTCATCTACGCTTCTGCTGGGCCGTCAAATACTGAAAGCAGGGCTGTTTGGGCGGCAACGTGTAGCACTTGGAGTGATTCTCGTCCTTCCATTGGCGCCATGAACTTTGATCCAAAGTACATGACTGACACGGCGTGGAGCGTTCGCGTTGCCGCACACGAACTTGCACATGCACTTGGGTTCAGCCAAAGGAATATGGAAAAAAAGAGCATGTTGAACTCTGAATACATTGTGCGTGGGAAGGTCCGCAGGATGGTGGCAGGGAAGCACGTTCAGGAGAAGGCGAAAGCGCACTTTGGTTGTGACTCTCTAAAGGGCATGGAGCTGGAGGACGAAGGTGGCACTCGGGAAAGGGCGATCCCTCACTGGAAGGAGCGCCACGCGCGGGACGAGCTGATGGCTCCCACAGTCGGTGCCGGCTACTACACGGCTCTGACGATGGCGGTTTTTGCGGATATGGAGTACTACAGCGTGAATTGGAGCATGGCGGAGCCGATGGGCTGGGGCAACAGCACCGGCTGCGACTTCCTGGAGAAGAAGTGCAATGCAACCGAGAATCTTGCCGGCAAGTATCCTCAAATGTTCTGCAATGACTCCGACAAAGAGACGCTTCGCTGCACCTCTGACCGCCGTCATGTCGGGACGTGCACCGCAATCATCGTTGAAAACGAGGGGAGTCCTGCGGATAAGGACGTTTGCCCTGTTGTTTCTTTGTACTTTCACGACACGTCTGGGATAGAGTACAATACGTGCTCGGACAAAGATGTGACTTCTCTCCCTGGGTCGCTGACTGGCGGTGACTCGTGGTGCCTAGACGCGGAATTACCGTCGAAAAATGATGACGGTAAACATAAAAACGTCAAGGGAGTGTGCGCGCAGGTGTCGTGTGCAGAGGGCACAGTGAAGGTGAAGTACCTCGGCAGCAGTGGTTTTCAGCCTTGCCCTGAGGGCACTGAAATCCCAGTGAGGCTGAAAGATTTTGAGAAAGACGGAAAGATCAAGTGCCCGAAGTACGTTGAGGTCTGCACCATTGCCGCCAACGGCAGCAGTCTTGTAATTCCGAGTGTGTTGGAGGATGACAAGGGAGAAGAGCAAGAGGAGCAAGTAGAAGAGTCTGTGGTTGCTTCGGTGTTGCCTCCTGCAGCAGAACCTCATGCAGCAGCGTCTTCCCCAGGCCAACCTTATGCAGAAATGCCTTTTCCACGGGTGCAAGCGGCATCGCAGCAGCCTCGAGAGGAAATTAAAGCACAAGCGTCAACCGCAGAAGAACCTTATGAAGAGGAACCACGTGCAGCAGCGTCTTTTACCGAAGAATCTCGTGCCGAAGCGTCCATTGCAGGCAAAACTTCTGAAGCTCCAGTGGTTCAAGCGACCTTGCAGCAGCCTCAAAAAGAAAGTAAAGCAGGACAAAATGCAACGGTGGGGGAATCTGCCAACACAGAGCACGTGTCCGTGGATTCGAACTCCCATGCCGTTGGAGAAGCAACGGGTGATGGCGGCACTGTTTGTGAGGTCAGGCTGCTGCCATCGCTGCCCCTTCTGTTGGGACTGTGGGGGTTTGCGGCTCTGTGAGGAGTGACTGGCAGACGCATGAAAACAATTACGACCTCCGCTGCAAAAATTCACTTCAAAGAACTAAATTTTATCCTAAAATAATTTTTTTTTCTTTTCTTTGTTTGTAATTTATAATTCTTGAAGCCTTCTTTGTTGTTTTTCTTTTTTAATGTTTTAATGTTTCTTTATTTTTAAAAAAATATACCATCTTTCATTCCCTTTTATCTTTCACTCCCGCATCCCTCTTTTTTGCTTTTGGGGGCAATCACTATGGACGTTTTTTCTTTTTTTCTACTCTTCCCTCTTTTAATTGTTTCTTGCTGCACTCTTCCTGTGAGGGGTGCTGTGTGTTTCCCGCCCAACTGCTCCACTCGCATACCCACCGACACGCTCATGACGACGGCCCTGTGCGCCTCGCCTGCTGCACGCATGAGGAGGGGCCGCGACGAACGGCGCGCTGAGGGAGCCGTGACGTGTGGGCGTGCGACGAGGGCCGGTGGGGCGGAGCACACATTTCTTTCCCTCTTGTTTTGTTTTGTTTTTTTGCGGCCAGGGCTGGCAGACACCCGCAGCGCCACACACACACACAGCCAGACCCTGCCGCCGTGTTTTTCTTTTTCTTTTGTTTCTTTTTTTGCTTTGCGTG